ACTCTCTTTCCCTTCCTCTCCTCTTTCTTCCTTCTTTCTTTTCTTGCATTTTTTCCGATCATACAAAAATCTCCATAGATTTTATATACTTTTTGCCAAAAAGTGGCGTGCCCGCCCATGTTTCGGACCAATGGGCCGTCGGACCATGAAGACCCTTCGGACCAAAGGTACGCACCCCTTGCTTTCGTGTCAAGTTTAGCTAATCAACAGATGAATTGATTAGCCCTAGGGCCATAGGCGTAGATCCCAGGGGATGGGGGATATATCCCCCCAATATTTGACAAGGGCGATGGTCCATTGTATCACCCCCACCCCCAATATTTTGATTATGTATGGGATAAAATGGAGCTTTACACACTTCAAAAGACTGTCACAGAATAATTTGCACTGTCTTGTGCACTTACAAAGATGAAAATTAGCATAATGTATTAATGTTGATAACAAAATTATTTTAACTGGTATGGTACCAATCTAAGCTCTTCTTTCCTTAGATGTCAGATGTGCTTGCAAAGAGAGCCACATTTCACATTGAAGGGTGTGTACGACATCAGTAATGTTACGGTATGTCAATTCCAAAAGAATGTTTAAGGTTATACCGGTTGATGAGAAATTTATTGATTAGGCCTATAATAGCAAATTGCATCAATTTATTTTGCAAAAACAAGGTTTCCAGCTTCAGAGGGGGGCACATCCCCTGTCCGCACAAGGGCACACATTGGCGCTAACACCAGGCGCGTAACAGGGGTCTTGGGTCAGAGTGGGTACGGTATTTATTTATTTTATTTTTTTAATTTTGTATTTCAACCATCTTTAAAGAGGGTAACCCTTCTAATTTAACCCATTAGGTTAACTGACATTCAGGGGCCCTCTTTAATAAAATTAAAGAACAGTACAAACAACATCATCACAACATAATAGTAATAATAATAATAATAATAATAATAATAATAATAATAATAATAATAACAATAACAATAACAATAACAATAACAATAACAATAACAATAACAATAACGAGACAGTATTTGTTGTTTGTGTCCTATATTTACATGAACATAATCATAGCACAACACAACTTCAGTTCGCCATGTTACTTTCTTTATTCCCCTTGCTCAATCCTCACATGTCATAGAGGGCGGTAAACAGAATATTGTAAAGATGAGGTGTGGTATTATTGCCTAACAACAACTCTCTGGTTAGTCCTTTAGTTGCTGAGGTAATCATTAATACGAGATAGCCCCGGAGTACCTTTTTGAATTCTGGTAATGGTATTAAGCGAGATGTCACTCTGCTACCTGATAATGGATAACGCCGTAACAACGGTACCATTTTACAATCCCATCCGAGGTGCTGATGGACTGACTGCACCTGGGAAAATATCGAAATGAGGCATCTGCATGTAGGCTAGGTTCCTAACAAACCCGTGTGTAGTAACTAGACCGGGCCTAGACCTAGATTTACAGTAAGCACAGAGACTGTCTGCCCGATGTTGGACCAGGGAGTTTCCCCTGGACATTTTCCCCCTGGGCACTACCCCTGGCACTTTCCCAATTTTACCCACAGGAATTTTACCTTGGGAATTTAACCCTCAGGAATATTACCCCCGCCGGGCATCCCTGGGCAATTTTCCCCTTGTAATTACCCCCGGGCAATTATCCCCGGGCAATTAACCCCGGGAAAAATTCCCCTGGGCAAAATTCCCCTGGGCAAAATTCCACAGGGCAAAATATCCCCGGGCAAAATTCCCCCGGGCAAAATATCCCTGGGCAAAATACCCCCGGGCTAAATACCCCCGGCTAAATTCCCCCGGGCTAAATTTCCCCGGGCTGAATTTCTCCGGGCTAAATTCCCCCGGCATTTTTTTCCCGGGCATTTTTTCCCGGGCATTTTTACCCCCGGGCATTTACCCCGTGGCATTTCCCCGTGACATTTTACCCTGTGAAAATCCCCTGGACTTTTTTCCCCAGGAAAATTTTCCCCAGGCTTTGACCACTTGCTTTTACATCTTCTCATGTAATTTCAGGTATACATTGTAATTCATAATACATTTTAAGTTTTTATTTTTCTTAATTTTGGTTAGTATGTACATTAGTCAATGCAAAGATAGCAGGACTTAAGCCTGAATTGGTAAGAACTAATTTTTGCCCAGGCTCATTGTTCATATTTTATGCAGATTTAAGTCTAAAATGTTCTTATTTTTACACACTTGTCAAACATAAAAAATTATTATTTTACAGCTCAGTATATTACTGTATTTTAGGGTATTACTCATGCAACTTACTATTTATTAATGGATTAATTTAACCCCTTGCTTTTTATGTTTGTACATCTATCATAATCCATGTCTTCAATAGCGTTATCGTAGCTTAATGACAAAAATAACAATAATAATAACCCAGGCTTACTGTGGAAATGTTATCTATAATCAGTCCTCGCAACAGATTACCCGACCAATGGGGACTTCATATTACAGTACTCTGTTATCCTACACATAAGCCACTTTCGGACAGAGCTACGGTACATTACCGCAATATTGCCAGAATCTTCTCTATGATTAAGTCAGAGCTAAACGCAATATTGGGGTTGCGCGGTGTTCTATCTTGAACCTAGTAATATTACCGTAATGTTACAGTTATGGTGTGTTCTGGCGTGTGTCTGAAAGCAGATCACATTTCCGCAATATTACTCGTTAGGTGAGACTTTTTATACATTGTTTACCGAACCCTTCCCTTCCCCCAATAATGATGATTTTGATTAAAAATAAAATTTTATCTGATATCCAAAAAAGATATTTCTTCCTTAATTAGGTCTATATTAAAAATTTACGTGTTATCCGTTCTCTAAAATGTACTTGTTGCAGCATGTACCATACCGTATGTGCAGTACATAGAAAACACATAACATTATGTACTGCACATACAAAAGGTACAGTAACGTCAAGGAAATTTGTCTAGACTTACAAGTTAAGATTTCCTGATTAGCACAATTTTCTAATAGAAACATTAACATTAAAAAGACGCTTTAGTCTGTAATTCTGCAGGTTCCATACAGAAAGGCGTTATCTTACAGCAATATATTTGGTTGGTATAAATGCTTTATGCTGATAATGGTATACAGAGCCTCTGTCTGAAAATGGCTATACAGTTGAACTTGCCTAAGTCAAATCCAAAATGCCATTGAAAAATTGTTCGAGGACCCCTATGGAAACAAGCTCATAGAGCTTATAGGGTTATCCTCTTGCACTCATTTTTGTATGTTGTTTTTGTACTTGTTTGTTGTGATTTTATAATGAGGGCAATAAATAATAAACAAACAAACAAACAAACTTAGATAAAATTTGACTTACAGATTGTTAATTAAGGGAAAACACAACAATTTAGCATGTACAATACAACTGTACGTTCGACTTAGAAATTATTCAAGTTAGGCAAGTTTAACTGTAGTCCCACCTGACGCAATGACAGTGGATGTTGAAAGTACCGGTAGTTATTTTTAGAGTATTATTTTATAGCACTATTATTATTTATTTGTTATTTAATAACAAATATGAATGATAATTATTAACACTTTTTTCTCTTGCACTGTAGCAGATGACAAAAGCCCAGTCTATTTTAGGCTTCATTGAAGCAGGGTAAGTTAATTAACAACAGTCCTACTCTATGTGAATTAATAATAATAATAATAATAATAATAATAATAATAATAATAATAATAATAATAATAATAAATCAGACATTTTGCCGCTTTACTGTGTCGGTTGCTGGTTTAAGTAGGTGTACGTGTACCCCTATGAATGATAGAAGAAAAACATTTTGCCTGTTTTCTGTAGTTAAGTTGACAATTAATGTATATTTTAAGGGGCTGGAGATATAGATTTGTCAGTTGCTTCACCTCTTCTGCTGCTTTAATAAATGTATATTTTAAGGGACTGGAGATATGCACTGCATTTTTTTTTTTTACAATACCCCCCCCCAATCCCCCCCCCCCCCCCCTTGCTATGGAAAAACTTCATTTAGCCTGCAGACAATCACCAACTATCTCCACATTCCGAAAAAATCTCTTAATGACATTTAGAAATCAATAGTTGTTACTGTTCACCCTTAATACTATTGTTATTTTTGTTATGATCACTATACTATAATTATTATCCTTATTTCTGTGATCATTATTATTGCTATTATTATTATTATTATTATTATTGCTATTATTATTATTATATTCTTTTTTTATTACTGGATTTCTATTGTTCTTATACTATTTCTTTTTTGATGTTGTTTTTATGTCCTTGCTTCTTGTTTACAGTGTTATTGTTGTTTTTATTGCTATGTTTCGGTAGTTGACACTTGTACAGGGAATAACTACCATCTCATGTAGGAAAAATAACATAATAAATTATAAAAAAATTAAGCGCCAAATCTTAGAGGGTCATCCATCCATCGCCACTGTGTCCTCTACCTAGGTGGCTCGAAGAACAAGGAACTGCACATATGCTGAATAACTGTAGAAAGTTTGTTATTTTGTTCAGCCGAAGACCAGATGAGGATTTCTATACAAAGTGATTAATACCAATTATTGTGTATTTTTAAATCTTTATTGCATGCTATTTTTAACTTGAACTGTTGGCACTGTGTTTATTATATTAGTCTTATATGAGTCTATATATATTCTACAGCAAAGATATGTTTGCATCATCTGATAAGGAAGAGGAAGTGGATGAGGAGGAGGGAGAGGAGGAGGAAGAAGAATATGAGGAAGAAAAATATGAGGAAGAGGAAGAAGAATATGAGGAAGAGAAAGAAGAATATGAGGAAGAGGAAGAAGAATATGAGGAAGAGGAAGAATATGAGGAAGAGGAAGAAGAATATGAGGAAGAGGAAGAAGAATATGAGGAAGAGGAAGAAGAATATGAGGAAGAGGAAGAAGAATATGAGGAAGAGGAAGAAGAATATGAGGAAGAGGAAGAAGAATATGAGGAAGAGAAAGAAGAATATGAGGAAGAGGAAGAAGAATATGAGGAAGAGGAAGAGAAAGAAGAATATGAGGAAGAGAAAGAAGAATATGAGGAAGAGGAAGAAGAATATGATGAAGAAAAAGAAAAGTATGAGGAAGAGAAAGAGATAGAAGAGCATGGGGAGGAAGTTAAGACAAAGGTAAGAGTTGACTGCTGAGTTACACTTGACCATTTATTCTATTTGAAATGGGTTGGTCATGTGTGGTTACATGCACTTTTTTTATGCCTTTTCATTTTTTCTGTATATAGTAATAATAAAATTTTAATTAATTTGTTTACATTTTCATATAGTACTTAAGTTTGAATTTTGATCAATAAAATTTATTTTCTTTAAAAAAAATAACTATAATAGACACGAAAGCTAAACTTTATGTAATTCTATTCATTTTCTGGATAGGTATGCCCATTTTTTTGGAGGAAGGAACCGTGCCTCTCTACAGACTTTATAAAAGAACATCAAAAACAAAAGTAAGTAGGATTAATTTTTGATTGATAAAATTAATTTAGAATCCATAATTATAAACGAACTTGTAGTAAAGCAAATATATTACAATCAGTGGATACCGAAACAAATTACACTACCAGCATAAGGCCTAAAAAAATGTTTGTTTACCCTCCAGCGCCCGCTCCTATCTCACTGAAAAATAGGGGTAGCGTTAAAAAAATTTTTTTTTTTTTTTTTTCGATTTTTTGTTCACAAATTTAAAAAAGTGATCTCTATTTTTTTCCATTTTGTGCAATGAAAGTTGTCTAAATATGGTGTCATGATGTATTATAAGGTATCGCCATTCTAGGCCTAAATTCATTACAAAATATTGATTATGGGTTATTTTTATTAGATGAATACCATTTGAAAAAACAGTGAGACAGGATTATTTGCAAGCATTTTGATTAATGTGTTAATTTTGGTGACAGGAGAAAAAAAAATTAAAAAAAATATATATTTTTTTGCTTTCGTTTTTTTTTGCACTAAAGGACAAACTTTTTTTTTTAGGCCTAATAGAAATTCTATGTCTGATCTATTTTTTTTTTGTTTTGTATTGTTCTTGGTTTTGGCTACTGCTGAATGTTTCATATCCATATGATAAAATTATGTTTTATCAACAATACAACAATTTGAGCATATCAAATTGACTTTACACAAATGGTGTTTCTATTATTATATTTCTTTTGATTTGTATTCATTTAGGAACCAGGTTTTTCAAAAGAAAGGACAAAGAAAGGTAAACACGTTATATCATCATTGCGGACTTATAAAATCCGCATACGCCTTAAAACTGAAAGAAAATGCATACTTTTGGAGTCCGTACTGAGCCCCAAAAATCCGCAATGAAAATATAACGTGTTGGTAATGAAACTTCAAATATATTCTATCACAAACATGAATCAGGTAAGTCATTAAATTTGAATAAAAGATGGATCTCTACAAATTAATGAATTATTAATTTTCTCTGATTTACAGATGTTTTACTACAAAAATCTGGAAACCAGTCAATTTATTGGCCTATTTAAAATTATCCCCAAAGGAGCGAAGCTCTGGGAAGACTATGGTTTTCACTTGTGTTGTTATTCATGTTGTTGCTGTTTACAGTGTTGTCACTGTCAGAGTTGTTGGTCATGTTTTTGTTACAACAATAACAAAGTTTGGGAAGAGAAGTATGAGAGGAAGAGAGTATGAGGAAGAGAAAGAGAAAGAGAAAGAAGAGCATGAGGAGGAAAAAGGGGAGGAAGTTAAGATGACAAGGGTAAGAGTTGACTGCTGAGTTACACTTGACCATTTATTCTATTTGAAATGGGTTGGTCATGTGTGGTTACATGCACTTTTTTATGCCTTTTCATTTTTTCTGTATATAGTAATAATAACATTTTTATTTATTTGTTTACATTTTCATATAGAACTTAAGTTTGAATTTTGATCAGTAACATTTATTTTCTTTAAAAAAAATAGCTATAATAGACACGAAAGCTAAACTTTAGGTAATTCTATTCATTTTCTGGATAGGTATGCCCATTTTTTTGGAGGAAGGAACCGTGCCTCTCTACAGACTTTATAAAAGAACATCAAAAACAAAAGTAAGTAGGATTAATTTTTGATTGATAAAATTAATTTAGCATCCATAATTATAAACGAACTTGTAGTAAAGCAAATATATTGCAATCAGTGGATACCGAAACAAATTACACTACAGCATAAGGCCTAAAAAAATGTTTTTTTACCCTCCAGAGCCCGCTCCTATCTCACTGAAAAATAGGGGTGGCATTTTAAAAAAAAGTTTCTTTTTTCGAATTTTTGTTCACAAATTTAAGAAAGTGATCTCTATTTTTTTCCATTTTGCGCATGAAAGTTGTCTAAATATGGTGTCATGATGCATTATAAGGTATCGCCATTCTAGGCCTAAATTCATTACAAAATATGGGTTTTTTTTGTTAGATGAATACCCTTTGAGAAAACAAATAGTGAGACAGGATTAGTTGCAAGCATTTTGATTTTAGTATGTTAATTTTGGTGACAGGAGAAAAAAAACTAAAACTAAAAAAAAAAATTTTTTTTTACATTCGTTTTTTTAGCACTAAAGGACAAACTTTTTTTTTAGGCCTAATAGAAATTCTATGTCTGATCTATTTTGTTTTTTTTTTGTTTTGTATTGTTCTTGGTTTTGGCTACTGCTGGATGTTTCATATCCATATGATAAAATTATGTTTTATCAACAATACAACAATTTGAGCATATCAAATTGACTTTAAACAAATTGTGTTTCTATTATTATATTTCTTTTGATTTGTATTCATTTAGGAACCAGGTTTTTCAAAAGAAAAGACGAAGAAAGGTAATAAAACTTCAAATATATTCTGTCCTATCACAAACATGAAGCAAGTAAGTCATTGAATTTGAATAAAAGATGGATCTATACAAATTAATGAATTACAGTATTAATTTTCTCTGATTTACAGATATTTTACTACAAAAATTTGGAAACCAGTCAATTTATTGGCCTATATAAAATTATCCCCAAAGGAGCAAAGCTCTGGGGAGACTATGGTTTTCACCTGTGTTGTTATTCATGTTGTTGTTTACAGTGTTGTCACTGTCAGAGTTGTTGGTCATTTTTTGTTACAAAAATAACAAAGTCGATTGGTTTCAAACAAATGCAAGTAGTAATAAAACTGAGCCATTGGGCATATTCGACTGGTTTATTTCGTTGAGTATTATTTTCACTCGACTGGTTCGTAAAATAGACTTCGTTGACAATGAAAATTAACGTAAACCAGAGTGTGTTAATCAGCGTTAAATTATCAATGTGACTGAAACAAACATGGCTGATTGGCGAGTTTAGAAATGACACTTGCGTTAATAAAATTTAGTTTAAATTTCAGAAAAATAAGAATTATAATATTTACCCGCATGAAGTCAAAAAATAATTTTAGAATTGAAAAATCTTGATTACGTGTATCGTGGTAACATGCAGCCATTTTTTTTGGGGGGGGGAGGTAATATTACAAGTATTCATTCGACTGGTCGTCTTCCTTAAGTACGTGTTTACTGCTGCGCAGGTGGGCGTGGTTTAAAGAAGGACGACCAGTCGAATACGGCAATTGTTTTTGATATGTGTGTGAATGCTAACTGTTCATTTGCATATTTAATAATTTTCTATCAGGAATAATAATAATAATAATAATAATAATTATAATAATCATTTATAATGCGCCAATTTAAAAAATGATCAAGGGCGCAACTTACTTTTAGAGTTTGTTAAATAAATATGTTTCTAAATTAACTTTAAATGAATCTAAAGTAGTTGAATCTTTAACAAAGGAAGGGAGTTCATTCAGAGAAGGAAAATGTGTGTTGGCCATATGTCTTCGTTTGGAATTTTGGGATGGTAAGCAGTGGCGGCTCTAGGATATATTTTCTGGGGGGAACCAGGTTTTTCAAAAGTACCAGTATAATATAGGATTGGATTTGGATTTCTTCAGTTTGAATCACACCAAGGATAACCCACGAAAGTTCCAATACTTACTTGCAGTGAGGTCCTCTGGTGGTGAATTGGGCAGTACACCAGGAGACAATGCCCCTCTCTTTTCCCACAAGTGTTCTGCGTTCTTTAATGTGCACATTGGCTGCACGGTACCAATGGCTTAAATGTCTCATCTGAAAGATGGTGATCTTTTTTTAAAATTGTACTTCAGCCCTTCAGCTGAAACACAAGGAGAGCAGTGATGAGAATTGTACCGACTGCTATTTCTGGGAATCTAGGCTGTGGCACCGAGACCTCTGACAATTAGTGCCCAAAATTGTTTACTAAAACGTAATGCAATAATAGCATATTGACTACTATTGTATATTTTCAGAAAATATTTCAGCCGTTGCAAATCTCTTTCCTATTGTTCCTTCTGCCTTTATTCTCTCACATTTTTGCGTTTATCTTAATTTTTCATAATTTTAAACACTCGTATATATAGTCACTTGCTTAGGTCCTAGTCTAGGCTAGACCTTGGCTATGCATATTACTATATTATTTAAATACAATTTTAATAGATAAGACTAGTTTAACAAGGACATAGTATTTCATACTTAAACAGTACTTTAAATTTAAATGTAAATATAATAACATTAACGAATAAATAACAATGATTTTTAACGTGTACAAAGTATCACTACGACAATAATAAGATTAATAAATTTCAATCTTATAATCAATTTTATATAGCCGGAGTTAGTATTGATCTAGGCTACTATGGCTAACGACAGGTATGCTGTCTCCAATATAAAGGCTTTTTCTATGAATGGAATGACCTGTACGAAACACAAGCTCCTGTAGACCACACCCATCGTTACGATTGTAATTTTGCGGGAAATATCCTCAAGATAGCTTCTCTTTCTTATGCAATTGGGTGGTTCTAGAAATTTTTTTTTCCAGTCAATAATTATCATTTATCCAGTATCATGTGCTACCATATTATTATTATTTTTAATTTCTTCTTGTAACTAAATAATATCACAGTACTATCATTATTTATTTTTCTTTAAATTATCATGTGTGTATTATGAATTGTAAATTGTAACCTAAGGGGTTTTTTAGGATGCTGATTCCAAAAATTGCAGGAACCACGACGGTACTTCAAACCTTCCCGCCAAAAATGTGGAAAAACAAAATGGCCGCCAAAAAACACTTTTTTTGCATTAAAATATGACCTCCAGTGCTCCAATTACAATGATTTTGGTGTCTAGACTTATGTTTATTAGGTCAAGGAATCCAATAGAACATATATGACAATCCATAATCTATATTGTAATGGTCAAAATTTAAAAGAAAAACCTCATTTTTGGACTCATAATTTTTTTTTAGGGGGGAAGGGATGGTGAAGAAGTAGGGGGAGGAAATATACTGTACTGCATGTTCCTACTTTATTTGACAAAAGTCAAAAAAAGAAAAACACATAGGCCTAATCCTAATATGTACAGATCAAAATTTTACCCAATAAGAATCCAGCTTAAGAATGCATTGGGCAAACTTTTATCCAATCTGAATCATTAGAATACTACAAGTCACTGATACACAACAACACTTGGCAACAGGAAAGAGGAACTACACAGGTTTGTGAAAGTTGAACTAACTAATGAGTTGTAAAGCTAAATAATTTTCACTGATTTCTGAGCCTTAGGGTAAGGGTTTACTCAAGTGATGTATAGAGTCTAGCTAGCCTATCTATGCCTAAGGTCTAGGCCTGTGCCCATTCCCAAGAGGGCACAGCCCTAGGTCACAACATACTGTAGGCTGTAGGGATAGTCACAGACATAGGTCTAATTGAAGTCTTATTTATATGTATAGTCAATTAAAGAACATTTTTTCTTTCTTTATTGATACTAATTGTGCTAGGTTATGACTAACTAAGTTAGGCCTACAATTCAGCCTAGGCCATGAGTCTAGATACAGTATAGGCATATTGACATTATTACTGCCTAAATCTTGTGTCCCTGACTTCTGATTTATTTAGATAGGATATAATTACTGGCATATTATGTTATGTTTATGTTTTTATCTGATTTCAGAAATGAGTGGTATAGTAAAGATCATATGATAATCCACCATGTCAAAAAAACTGAGGCTGGCCTCTCAGACATGGCCTGTACCAGTTAACCTTACAAACTGGGACATTTGTGTCAAGAACCTGGTGGAACTCTCATAAATCCATCAGCAACAGGTTATATGTCATTAGCAAAAGCAAAAAGTCTATCTTCCTTTCACGAACTAAATGATATGCCACTGAGCATAAATGTATCAAGGCTTGATGATGGTGATGGCATAGAGAAAACGCTGTTTGCACACAAAGCTAAGTGGCATAAATCTTGTTACGTTATGTGCAATGCAACAAAATTGGAAAGAGCCAGAAAGCGACATGAAACAGGTTGTCAACAATTCGCTCCATTACCAAATAAGCAGCATCTTTGCAGTAAAAGTACTCAAGCATGCCCTACGACAAAAGAAAAGGTAAATCGACCGGTTTGCTTTTCTGCGATTTAGCTACTGGAGATTTTCACAAAGCCGAGACGTTATCTCTTGATGCCCGTATCAGTAAAATCGCTACAGACCTCCGAGACACCAAGTTCTTGGCCAAATTATCAGCTGGAGATATGGTCGCTATTGATGCTGTATATCATTTCAAGTGCTTGACATCATTCTATAACAAACAGCACTAAACAGAGAAAGTGTCACAGAATTAACCCACAGTCACTTGCACTTGCGCAAGTGTTATCTTATATTGAGCAATATGGTCACCTGGTGAATCATGTTTTCAAACTCGCTGATTTAAAGGCATTGTATTGTGAGAGCTTACACCAATTTGGTGGTGATACAACTGAATACATTCATTCCACCAGACTTGCAGAGAAACAACAACAACAACATATACCAAATCTTGAAGCTCATACAAGCAAGTCTGGCACAGTACTGTCATTTACGGGAGGCATTGGTGATGCCCGGCTAGACAGGGACGTATTCAGGGGGGGAGCCGTGGGAGCCGCGGCTCCCCCCCTTTGTACACAGTGTTAAAATTTTAAAGCTTATTCTTGAGCCAATACAAATTCTTTCCTGGGATCACTCAAAATGAATACTTCTAAACATGAAAATATGCATCAGTACACGTTATACATAGGCATAATAGAACACATAGGCCTAAGCGTGATTAAAAATCTTAAATCCATAAATCTCAGGCCAGGTCTTTTAAGATAGAAATGCGATACTGTGGTTCAATTTCGATTTTATCCTTTTGCAAGTTTCTTTAAATGTTTGTTTAATAATACTACTACTAATAG